CACTTAGAGCCATACATATACATACCCATGATGTCAAAATCGCGCAAAAAAACGTTGATCTTATCGCGATTTATTAGCTCGATTAATTGCCTAGAGTGGTGATTTTTGCCAATTTTCTTTGCAATTCTTAAATGAAAGCGCAGTTATTCAAATAATATTTCCCATGATCGAACCTGGCCATAGCATTTGGACCCATGACTATTACTAGGTGTCGACCCATATACCATTGTCGCTTACCATCGTACTCATACATGTTTCTCGCGAATCGGAGTGTCAGTTTAGCATCATCATTAAATTAATACTAACGGCAATACCTTTGTGTTACGATCATAAGAGAAAAATATTGAAATTTGTATTGAATGCTGTCATGCTAACGCGAAGTATCGCTGACTAATTTCAATTCGTTTGTTCCAATTTTATTTCAAAAGCATTATAACTACTATTGAGTCAATGCAATATTCTATCAATTTAACAGTAGCTACAATGCTTCTGTATGAAAAATGTCACAAAAGAGTATCGAAATCACTCAGAGATACTGCTTCGCTTTAGCATTACATTAATTAATAAAAATTGCAATATTTTTCTCTTCGAATCGTAACAAGTTTTTTTTCTTAGCATTAGTCTAATGCTCATGCTAAGTCGACACTCCTACTCGCGAATGAGACAATATCGTTCTTTCCATTCGCAGTAAACAAAACAAAAAAATCGAATAAAATAATACCTATTATTCATTGAGACCATCGAACGATCTAAATAAAAACTAATATATGCATATACAGTGATACTTACCCGTTCATTGGGATGATCAGATGGCCTCAATAAAAGAATAAAAAATTATTTTATTGAATCAATACTTACCGTTTATTGAGATGTTGTAATAAACTAAAAAACGAAGAAAAAACTTTTTTATAAATTTATGCTTACCATTCATTAAGATATTCAGACAATTTAAATAAATGAAACAAAACATTTATTTTTGTAAATTAGCACTTGTTGCTGAAATTTTTTGCAGAATCGGCGATTAATCGCAATAAGCACCGCGATTTTGATGACATGGGTGCACTCACACGCATTTTATGCTATCCGCATGCATGCACTTGACCGCAGATACAGCTGAGCAGCACACACCTCCATCCATGCGATGTCCACACCAACAGCACCATTTATACTAACATATAAATCCACCGTAACAAGCACAAGCGTAGTCACATCAGTGCCTACACTCTGTTCTATTGATCACAGTTAAAACTATCGAATTCAGTACAACATCGTGAAAATATCAAGAAGAAAATTTGATTCAACAGTCACAGTTGTATAGGCAGAATAAAGTAAATATCTTGGGCAACATATTATAGCTATGCACCAACAAAGAAAAAAAAACAGTACAGTCAAACGCTTTGTAAAAAATCAGATATAATCATTCAATGACGGCTATGCATATTATGGTTTCATAACAGGATCATGGTCTTTTATGCCATAGTTAACAATGCAACTGTTCAAAAAGTCATCCACAGATACTTTACTATAATAATTCATAGCATTATCGATGGGTTGACTATTGCAAAAAGATTTTGAATGATTGAAAATATGTAGATGGTCGCTCTTTGTACTATTACCACAATGACCTCTCATCAGTAGAGTTTATAAATAGCATAAACACATCCATCTAGTATTCATCATAACAATACATATAAGAAAGTGCAAAAAATCTAGTGCAGATCATTAAATCAGTATGGCATGATCATGCATTGTTCACCTTCGCATGAAGACGGTTTGAAGTCACAAAAGTGAGGAATACTTTCTCGACAATCGGAAGTATGCTACAGGCCTCAAAATTACAGTACTTTTTAATGACCTGGTCCGGTTCCAGGACCTCTCATGCCCGCCCAGCTCGACCCGGTCCAACTTAGAATGGCGCCGTTATAATGATATTTCTTTTACCAAACAAAAATTTTTACATGATGGAACTCAATGATTACTGGAGTAATTTATTAAATCATTGTAAAAAGCTTATTAATTATCATGGTGATCACGGGTTGAATAAGGCTAGATAATTTTAAAGCTTGAAAAAAGTCTAGAAGATAAGTCGAATTACTTATTGAACCGAAAGAGTAAGATGCATTCGTTAGTACTTCAACTTCTGGAATACTATCATTTATTAGCAAGAACCTTGCACAAGTACGAGGCACACCGATCAATTTCAACGATTTAGATTGATTACTATTTCTAGTTACATTTTGCCACTTCAGTAATGTTCATGGCACTTAACGCAGTTGATAATTCACTCGACTTTGTGTGTAGATGAGAAGTGCCATCGAACTGAATAAATGCATTGTTTTCATTTATTGTCTAAATGAAGTTTGCAAAGACTTCGCAAAATAAAGGTTCTTGATTGTTAACAGTTGCAAGATGTGCAACCCATGTAGAAAAGTTTGACGAAAAATCAGAATTAAATCGATTATTTTTTTTTTTACTAAGAATTGATTAAAATGGTGCTTTTTAATTCTCACAGAAATTCGATTTCTCAACTTTAAAAATAGTTTTCAATTGATTCTTGTCTTTTTCCAATCGATTAATAAAGTTTTGTCGATCAAAATCAGATGAAATCTATCTTTAAAATTGACAAGTTAGATTCTAATCGGATTGAAATGGTACCATTTTAATTGACACTTGTTCATAAAATAATCTATTCTAATCTACGTAATTTATCGAAATTTTTTCTTACATGAGTTAGTATTAATTGATATTCTATCTCAACGTCCAGTATGTGTGTGTATCAGAGTCTAATCTAGTGTGACACTTACAATTTGCTGAGTTGAGGAGTCCGAAAAAAACGACCAGAAGTTTTAGTTTCTAACTTAAAACTAAAAAAAAACGGTTTATGATGATCGCTATGTAAATCGATTAAAAGCAGGGACGCACCGAAGGAAGAGACCCATTGGGATCGGGCCCCGTCCTCAGAACTGAAAACGCCTGTAGGGAGTACAGGTAGACGTTTTTTCCCCAATGATTTTTTAAAATTTTTCCGTGGTGCCCCCCCCCCCTCAGAAAATTTCTGGGTACATGTCTAATTAAAATTCATATAATCTAATTTTGATCAAATGATAATAGTCCCATTCTAATCGGTTGTTAGCTAGAAGGAAATTTATTAGAATCAGTTTTTCTTTTTTCTTACGTGGTAAGCCTTGCTAGCAAAAAAGAATTAAAGTTTGACCGAGTGGTTCGTATCGAGGTCTGGTGCACTATCAACACGTTATCAAACATGTTGTAAGCTACGAGATACTCAACAGAGAACTGGTATAAACTTCATTTCTCTTCCGACAAGTATTAAAAAAGAGATTTATCGACTAATTTCACCAATAAAGTATAATTTTTCACATTTTCACAGTGTACATGTTTTTTTGTCTGGAAAATAAATAGAAATTCTAATGTGATGTGATTGTGAGAATAAAACTAACATACTGGAACAATAAAACTGTCTTTATACTATTCATGAATTAGGAAGAAGATGAATTTTTTTAATGACAGTTTGAAATGTTAACTTGTCAAATCTTCCCCTTTGGAAGATCAAAAAAAGACAAAATTCTTTAACGGGCAATATTTCAAATCTTTTACTTGATAAAGCTAGGCTCTACCAGATATATTGACCTAATATTCTAATAGCTTGTTAGAAGCTGAACATCTTTTGAATGTAACGTTTATTTGAATGTTGCTTTGCTTCGTAGAAAAATGCATAACTTTTAGCTACCCTAAAAACAAATTTCCATTTTTTGAAAATCCATAGCGGTCAGTATTTGTTGAATAACTCTGCTGTGGCTAAAGAGAAAATTATACAACTTTTACTGGTAAGAGATCTAACAGATCTGCATTTGTGATAAACATTTTAGACAGCTTGCTTATATTACTAAAAAGTTACAGATGTTGTAATATGAAAAAATGAAATTCCGTAGCGTGTAGCTACACCGAGTAGCAATATCAATTCTTTCTCAATGCTAATACGCATCAATATATCAGTTTCAATCATGCGAAAATCATTAATACCTGAGAGTATATAGATGACTTATGAATATGAATAGCAGTAGATCTTCTATTCAGTCAGAGCCACCATCTCCGAGTCACATTGACATCATTCACATGCACACCTTATACCCGCACCTACACACCAGTCACCACTCACACCTACTCCTACATTGATATCCATCCGTCAAATCATATACACGATAGAAACTCAAAAACGATTATGGGATTTAAGGCTTAGAATGAACTCAACTGACGAGTGTGCCACATAAGAGCGTAGAATGATCTCGTTTTCCAAGCCTTCATTCTTCAGATATCGAAGTTTAACTAGTTTTTTCAAGAAAAAACTGTCCTTCCTGTCAAATCACCTGGAAAACCGACTTTTGAATTGCAATGTCGAACACCGCATGAACAAAGTTCTGAGTGACATTAGTTAATTGTGCACGTTGTAGTCTTTCTAGGATTTCTTTTCTAGATATATATATGGGGCTGGTCTACCTAGCCGGAGGCCCCGATTTATTTTTCATCGCATAGTTTCTATTTTCGACGAAAACGTATGATTTTTTTACCAGACATAGTACTAATAAAGAGCTAATAAACCGCTATAGTTTCGACTATATACCTCGTTCGAAGATAATATAACTAAACGTTTTCGTACAGTGTACTATTGAAATGCATTTTAATTTTCATCTAGTACATAAATTTCGCACTATGGAAAGTTAACAACCAAGCTTATATCTGCGCTATATGTCAATAGTAATTAGACAGAAATACGTTTATAGTTATAGGTTGACATCTTCACAAAAGACACATCTCTGGAAAGGAGGCCATTAAACAGAAATTGTTTTCTTATTTGTTATTTTCTCACCACATAACAGCAACAGCCGATCACATGATTCACTTCAATATAGTTTCTTTGTTTACATTTGTTATTTTCCTTTAATACATTTTCACTAAAACAATACATTAATCTATATATCGCTATGATATCATCTTCATCAGAAATCGAATGGGATTGTCCTGAATGTCAGACTGCTATAACTGATCGACGAAAATATTGCAATAGTTGTCAATCAATGCTAGTTTGGACATGTATTCCTTCTGGAAAATCAGGTTTATACAATAATTACCATCGATATCGCAACAGATGTAACTATTGTACACCAGAGCTTGAAGAAGAACGGCAGCAGTTGAAGACGGAAAATCGGATCTCAAGATTTCAAGAAATTGCAATATCGGATAATGGTAAGAAATATTTATGTTAAGTGAGCTTTTTAACTTCCAGTCTATTGTGTAGTACGTCTAAAACATATGATAACAAAGCATCAGAATTTTTCTAGTGATTTTATACTCTAGAGTAACGCCCCTGATCCGAGTGGAGTCGTAGCGATGAGTCATGTACACAACATACAGGACACGACATCGAACAAATGCAACAATTATTCAATATGTGCGAACAATCGCTGATCGAATTTTGTATGAATAGAAAACACTAACATACAACAGATACAAATAATAAATTTTTATTGCCTATCAATTTACTTGCAGTTACGCGATGGCATCTGAAGCATTCTCACTCTGAACGTTATATAGCAGTAGAGTTAAACTTTAGCAAATCAACAGTGAACTATTTTTTATCTGCCGTGGTAGATATATTATATGCACCTGCATATCCGAAGTTAATTTTATTACCTGATGATATGGATCATGAAGCTACCGCGTNCGACGAAAATATTGCAATAGTTGTCAATCAATGCTGGTTTGGACATGTGTTCCTTCTGCAAAATCAGGTTTATACAATAATTACCATCGACATACAACAGATGTAACTATTGGACACCAGAGCTTGAAGAAGAACGGCAGCAGTTGAAGAGGGAAAATCGGATCTCAAGATTTCAAGAAATTGCAATATCGGATAATGGTAAAAAATATTTGTGTTTAGTGAGCGTTTTAACTTCCAGTCTATTGTGTGATGTGTCTAGAACACATGATAACAAAGCATCAGAATTTTTCTAGTGATTTTATACTCTAGAGCAACGCCCCTGGTCCGAGTGGAGTCGTAGCGATGAGTCATGTACACAACATACAGAACACGACATCGAACAAGTGCAACAAGTATTCAATATGTGGGAACAATCGCTGATCGAATTTTGTATGAATAGAAAACAACAACATACAACAGATACAAATAATAAATTTTTATCGCCTATCAATTTACTTGCAGTTACGCTATGGTATCTGAAGCATTATCGCTCTGAGCGTTATATAGCAGCAGAGTTAAACTTCAGCAAATCAACAGTGAACTATTTTTTATCTGCCGTGGTAGATATATTATATGCATCTGCATATCCGAAGTTAATTTTATTACCTGATGATATGGATGATGAAGCTACCGCGTATGGCCCTGAACAGTACCACAAGCTAATTGTAGATTCTACCTTTATTGCAATTCACCAGCCAGAAGATTTTGACCAACGTAAAGCGTATTATCATGCAAAAAGCCCAACAAACTATGCATTTAAAATACAGATAACTTGTGATTTTAATCATCGAATAGTTCATGTGTCCAAATACTATCAAGGCAGTGTACATGATATTACTGTTCTAAGAGAATCAGGGTTACTGGAACATATAGAAGAACATGTTCAAATCATAGCCGACAAAGGATATATCGGTGAACAATATGTCATAACCTCGAGAAAGAAACCTCGTGGTGGCGAATTAACAGCTGAAGATAAAGATTTCAATCGGTCAATTTCCAGTGCAAGAGCAGCGATTGAAAACATCAATCAACGCATTAAAAATTATGCCATTTTAGGAAGTATTTACAGAGGTGCCTATGATGATTTTGATAAGATTACTCGAATTGCACATGTAGTCTCTGCACTTTGTAATCTTAAGTTAAGTAAACATCCTATTCGAAATGAAAGATAATGATACAGCTCTAATCGAGTTTTTCCAACTGATATTTGTTATTTCTCTATTTCATTGTTTCAGATGAATAAAATGACCTGCGGTGGCAAATCTGATAAAAGTGTGTTTTCAAGAAAGATTCTATAAGACTATCTGTTTTTTTTTGAATTCAGGTAAGGTATATAGTCGAAACTATAGCGGTTCATTAGCTCTTTATTAGTACTATGTCTGGTAAGAAAATCATACGTTTTCGTCGANCGTTTATTTCTTGAATTTGTCTAGTAAACGAGTTTTATAGCGTTGTTTTCTTCAATTCTCATCGTCAATGCATCAAAACAGCGTTTTGCCGTTTATCTGTCTGCGCGGGTATCCAGAGAGGCGTGGTTTGATTCTAACGTTTTGTGCGCATAACATTAAAATGAAACTTGTTGGGGTCCGCCAGGACCCCAGGTGGGCGGATTAGGGTTAATGAAATATATATATATATATTGCTGTTATTTTCGTCACTTTCTATTATTTAATGAAAATTGACCAGAAATTAATCCTCTCTATGAAATATCATTGATTAAAGAACAAAATAAAAAACTGTTAAATGACTAATTTGTTTTTATTTGAATATTTCAAATATTGTTACAAAGTCAAATATGTGAATGTACTTATGACGTAAGACCTGAAGCTGGACAACAATAGCGAACCTTGTAATCTTGATACATTTTCTTCTTACAATTAACACTTTGTTGATTTAAACATAAAAATCAATCTTTTACAATAATAGGAAAAGGATCGCCTGTTGTTGATGGATTTTCATCATATACTGTTTGACTCTAATAGTAAATACTCATATTTAAAAATGAAAAAAAAATATAATTTATTTATCATACTTAAATAGCTGTTGAAGATGCACACATGAAATCAGGAAAATTTTCTTGTATATTACGTGTTATTTCAAACTCTCCTTGTGTCATATTAGAATCTTTTGTATCAAACCAAGTTATCTATTTATAATTGCCATAACATTGTCCTTCATTAAAAGTATAAGGATCAAATATACCTCGTTGAGATAAAACAATATTCAATAATATTAATAAAATCAAAATTTTAAAAAACATTTTTATTTATTTGATAAATAGATATAGATACGACAATATTCTTCTTTGTTGATAATATCAAGCTTCTAGAAATGAAAACACACATTGATAAAGGGTATTAACTAAGCTTATCGTCAATATAGAATATTTTAAAATATCATAAATGAGTATAATCATATTTGTATGTTTTTCTATCTACTATTTTCAATAAAAAGAACAAAACTATAAAAATAAATATCTTTTTTCGTATAATTGATATTTTATAGGACATTTGTTAAAGATGAAAACAATTACATTACTATTAAAAAGTTCTTAGTTAAATCATTATTTTCATTGATTTAACAAAATTAAAAAAAAAAAAAATAGGAGAATAATGAATTGATCTAGTTAGTCAAAGAAGTGATGAAGACGAACTCAGAAAAAAATTTCATTGATGTCAAATCAATAAAATTACAGGATAAAATCTCGGTTGAATCGATTAAAGAGAAAATAAAAATCTAGTGTTCCATCAATATCTAATCTTCGAATTTCGTTAAATATCTTTACTTCTAATTGATACTTTCTACATTGTGAAAATTAAAATATATGATCAATTTATAATTTTTTTTTAAATTTTCTTTGTGATGTATACAAACATTATGATATTAGGTCAAAGATATTTAATTATTTTCATTTTGAATTCTTTCATCTTCTATATTTATCCTATCATTACACGATTTGATATGTTTTTCAAATATCCGAAACTAAATCTATGTATATACTAAATTATACTAAATTGAAAAAGACTTTTAAATTACCCTTCGTTTGTCAAAATAAATTTTGCCCTCAGATGAATCGTTTCAATTATATTTATCTGTACATAACCATACGCCAAAACCGAGATCTTTTCCTATGATTTTTCTTGATTCAATACTGATGAGTTCCTTTCTTCAAGATCAATTCCTTACAGTTCGAACAACGAGATCAGATTAATAATCTTTTCGGACTAATTAAGCACATTGAGATCATTGCCCCAATGTCTCCAAAAACAACTGATCAACAGATTAATAAGAAATATAATCATATTGAAGATTTTAACAATAAAAGCGAAGAGAATACTTTTTATTCATAAATCATATATATTAATTTTTATTGATTTAAAAGATATCATTCCAAGTGAAAAAAACATATGATGTAAAAGGATGTTTCTTTTTTTTTTGAATAAAATTGTTCGCATTTAATATCCTTCCATTTTTTGTTAAATTAAATGAAATATAATACTTTATTTGCTTTTTACGTATTCTTTTTGATTTAGGAGATCCGAGAGAAAAAGATTTTATTTAAAATTATCATAAGAAAAATTTCTTGTCATTACCCTTTTAAGTCAATTAAATGTTTTCTTTTTGCGAATCAAATTTACAAATTTAATCTATATCTTGAAAAAAAAAGAACAAATTTTGAATATTATATTAATCTTATTTAGCTCGGACTAATATTTACAATATTTATAAAAAACATTCGTTTGAACTTTTTTACAAAATACATTTAAGTTAATCATGAAACAATTATAAAATGATTATCAAAAGAATATTTTTAGTTTTTGATTAGTCTACTTCAATTATTAGAAAATCTGAATAAATTTGACAAGCATCTACTATGATTTATTCGATAATATTCAATCAAGAAAAAAAGAGTTAGTTTTATTTTACTTCATACTATTTATCATTAACATTATTTTTTTATTGATTTAATCGAAAACAATATCAAAGCAAAATCTACTAACCGGAAGAATCATCCGATGTTTTCTCGTCTTTTTTAACTTTTCTATATCACCTTTTATAATTTATACGAACAGTGTAAAAAGTTCAAAACTAGGATGTGACTGATCAAGTCCTTTTACTTGCATCTAGCATGAAATCAACAGTAGCTGCCGAAATTACATAGATGATACCTATGTATATTGAATAGACATTTTGCTGCGAAACTCATAAGTCAAAATTTTACTTACGTCATTCAAATTTAAAAAAAGTTTTAACTTAACAGAAGTAACTTTTTATTAAAATATTGAATTTTATATTTCTCATAAAATGATGACGCTCATTCAACATATAGAGTCTTTGAGTAATAAATTAGATAGATTTGACAATTAACATTTCGTCAATTCTCTTAATTTTCCGTTTAATCGATATCAGAAATAAATGGAGAAATCTTTAAGACGAACATGTAGATAGATATCTGTGGTTTTCATCATCGATAAGAGTAATGTCAGTGGGTATCGATTCATTAGATTCAAAAACTTTTTCTATTATTATCTATGCATTGATGTTTTGTTCATTTCAGATTTTTCCACCGGCCTTCGACAAAATCTCTATCATTTTTGACTAACTTTTCAGTATTTATCTTTGACGAAGTTTCTTAAGACTGATAAATTTTACCATGAACTTATAGTGCTTTCGACTATACTTTTGTCGAGATTCGTCGGAAAAATGGTGAAAATCTGCAATGCTAAAAATATCAGTGCATAGATAATAATAGAAAAAGTTTTAGAACTTGATGAATCTTATACAAATCAATACTCTGGTCTAATGATGAAAACTACAGATATCTATCTACTTTCGTTCTTAAGATATTCGTTTTAGCGTTTTCTCCATCTATATCTAGGACCGACATGAAAACTTTGCTATATTCTTAGAAGATTGGAATGATTAGAGTCCATGATTTGGATTATCTTCTTACTAATTGTTCAAATTGAAAATTAATTTATTTAAATCACAAGACATATTCATGAGTTCATGATTGTTTTCACTTTTAGTTTTAACAGTTTTTGTTTGCTTTTACACTTTATTCTTTTTCGAAGCATGCAATATGTAGTCTAAAAATCTTTGCATAAATCTTCATCGGTGCTAGATCATAATATTTACTTGTAAACGCATTAAATTTTGTTTTCTTGTATAGAACAAAATCCAAGCTTGAAGTAAGACAAGCAAAAAACTGAACATCTCCAAAAGCAGATTTATTACAACTGAAATTTTGTACAGTATCACTTTAGATTTTCTGTTCATCTCCTTTTTTATATCAGAATCAAAAACGAAAAAAGAAGTCGTTTCATGATGATTCCTGTAACGTAGAGAATGTTATTTCCAATGCTGTAACATTTCAAACAAATAATACAATAAATTTTTATATTTATTAAACAGAATCGAATAAAAATGTATATGAGCATTCTCTTAAATATGATGTCAAACAAGGAAAGAAAGAATGATTTAAAATGTAAGCTACAAATAAAACAAACTTCTATTTGATATAGACTTAAGTTTGAGACAATGAATGGCTAGAATATAGGTGTAGTACATCTCTTAGTCAATACTTGTACTCCATATTCTAAAAGATAAATAAGCTAGAAGAAAAACAAGAAAAATATACGTGTCAAGTATACCTTCGTCGATGTTTCGTAGAAACTACAGCTAAAAAAAGAGGGTATTCTTGAAAATACTTATTGAAAGAAAAAATAAATTTCTTTCTTGTTTTGCATTTGTTAACTACTTTTCTGTATTTATTTGTCATTTAGAAGTCATTTTTGGTAATTTCTGATACTGTTATGAAAATTTTTACTAGTAGTTGATTTAGGCAGGCAAAAATGAGACTTATACTTTAATCGTTTTATTACCGAACTTGAAATATTTTCATGGTGTTTTTCCCAAGTAGTCAGTTTTGAATGTTGAATAGGAGTTGCTTTCCATGTCATTTTATTTTACGATTGCTCGAAGAAAATTCACAATGGCTATTTACATGTGACAAATTATGTATTTTCTTTAAATTATTCCAAAAACTAAATCAAATACATTTATCCATTTCAAAGAAGTAAATGAAAAAATAAACAACACAAACATCAAGAAGAAAACACTAAAATGATTTAACTCATCATGTGAAGAGATTCTTGGTGAGCGTTAAGAT